ACATGGGTTTCTGTGCAACATGTTTGCTTCATAACATGACTTTGTGGGCAGCGGAGTGTTGCCAAAGAAGAATCAGTAAGAGAAGAAAAAAGTTTCACTCTTGCCCCATTCAACAGTCTTCTCAGCAAAGTCTCCCTCCAAGGAGATTTTTCACCCTTTTTCCTCTCCAGTTAGTCTCAAGAGTCTAGAAATAAGTTCCAATGAGAGGGTCTACTTCTGCAGAAAAAAACAAGGTGGCTTGGGGAAGATTAAGTGCAAACATCTGCTTTTTTTCCTGGCAAATTCCATCTTGCACCTGACATTTGCATTACACCTTAGCACAAAACAGGTCTGGGAACTTGCATTTGCCAAGTTAACCCATCGTTCCAGCCTTAAAAAGTTATCCAAACAAGCAGAAAGATATAGCGTAGAACAGACATTTCTAGAGTTCATTGCAACAAGATCATATGACCATTAGCATGGTTTAGATGAATTCGTGGAGAAGAGGCCATCAGGATCATTGCTCTTATTAGTAGAGCTAAACAGCATCAAAAATCATAACAGTGGCTTTTTAAAGCCACACCAAGTATGCCTGTGATGCCTCCTCCACTTCTACTTACCCAGAGCTTATGGGACAACAGTCCCACTCAGAAGCAGGAGAAGGCCCCCTTTACTAAGTGAAGGGCAATATATAGTCTGAACTGTCTGGTCCTGCCTAACCTTGGAAGCTAAGCAAGGTTGGGCCTGGTTGTAATCTGGATGGGTGACTTAAACGTTGCGAACCCCTCAGACAGCTTCTGCTACGGGCAGTATAGAAATGTAATGCAATAATAAGGATAGTGCAAAGGAACCAGATAATCACTCATTAAGAATAAGCACCTGTAGATTTCAATGACAAACATGGTATGGTGACCATTAAAAAAAGCGTAAGGCAAACCATGCTGGATCAGACCAAGGGTCAGTGTAAGCCAGCATTCTGTTCACACAGTGGCAGACCAGCTGTCCATGGGAAATGCACATCCAGGACATGAGTGCAACAGGTTCCCAGCAACTGGAATATCTCAGCATACCACCTCTGATCCTGAGGGCAACATGCAGCAATAATGACTAATAGCCACGGATAGCCTTCTCTTCCACGAAGTTGTCCAAGTCCCCTTTTAAAACCGTGCAAATGCTGGCTGTCAATACATGGCTGCAGTAGCAGAATTCCATAGTTAAACTGTGTCCTGGCCTTCCTTTCATTTGTTCTTGCTCTCCCACCAACCAGTTTCATGGGATGATCCCAGGCTCTTAGCTACAATAGCAATAAAAGGAAGTGATGTAAGATCCCTTCTCAGAGATCTACAGGAAATGGGGCTTGCAACTGCCAAGGATGCTTTACACGGATAAGATGAACACTTGCACAGGGCAAGCTGGGGGACAGATGATCTGCCAATTCTTTTAACATCAGGATTCTATAGCTAAACCAGTTGTGATGTCTTTAATTGCCCAAGGAGGCATAGATGACTTGCTGCATCTCATGTTAGAAGACTGGGACCACCTCAGTTAACGATAAGCCCACTCCTCAAGATCTGTAGACATTTGAACAATGTAGGTAAAAAACATACTGTTGTCAAGTGGTGAATCCCCCAACTCTGGGGCAGCACTTTAAACAGGCTTCCCCAACTTGCTGCCCCCTAGATACACTGAAATACAACTCCCAGTATTCCAGAACATGACCGCTTGGCTGGGGGTGAAGGGAGCTGGACTCCAAGACTTCTGCAGGATACCAGAGTGGAGAAGGCTTCTTTATACAGGCTTGCTGAACCACCAACCACAGGTTCTTGCATTCCGTTACCAATAAACAACACAATGTTGCTAAAACAAATTGCATCACTCTGCTCTATCTTAGGGCTGGCCCTACATTTCACAGTATGTCAAACAGAGGCCAGGCCAGTCTCGTATCAGCAACATGTGCCACCTGGAAGCACATACACCTGGCAAAGCCTTGACAAGGTTGGCCTTGCCTACATGCTCTGAATGAGCATGTGTAAAGTAATGTCAAATGTTTCTAGGCAAATTCTGTAGTCAGGTGCTTACACAGCTATAAATCAAATTCTATCAATGTGCAGCAGTGTGCATGGTCCTCAAATATCCCAGGGCTCGAGGAAGCCAACTTTCCTACCAGCTTCCCCACTTCCAGAATCTTGGAGATCCAACCCATAGAATTCACTGCAGGAAGATCATGCAACCGTTCTGTTCCAGAGCAGCTATGGCCGAAAAGAAAAATTCTCCTCCGATTTTCATCCATCAATTTCATTCCAGCCAGGCTTAGCCACAGAAGCTGTTTCTAGTACTAGGGTTGAGCTTGGAATATACAAGGGAATGACTGCTGACCTAAACTACAATTGAACTGATGATTTCATCAGCAATTCTCTCTTGATTGCTTCTACCTTTAACTGTTCTTCATAAGTACATTTCTAGGCTCTACATGCCTCCAATGGTGAGGATGGTGCATACTAAAAGGCAGAATTGGAAGTATGTATTTTGGCATAGACAGGTTTTTTCCATATAGACTTACACACACACACACACACAATTTCTACCCATAAAGCTTCCCACCCAAGTTTTTGATGAGGTCCATACCTACTTGCTTCAATTATACTGCTGCTCCCAGACCATTCACAAGGCTTGCTCATAGAGCGGAGCTTTCACTCACTCACTCTCTCTCTCCAAACAGACATGCAATGTTTGTGGGATTTACAGAAACTGCATTTCAGAAGTGAAGCGCTGACATAGGAAGTCACGAAGTGTGGTTAAAAAAAGTTTGCTTACAGAAGTAGTTAAGTATCTCCTCAACCAAGTCAGATGAAAACTTCTTAAAAGAATTATGAAAATCAAACAAAAAAGCAAGAGTTTCCCTCTGACAGGCCCACCGTTCCTACATATTCCTTTTCTTTCCTCCTCCTGTTTATCTGTTGCAAGAAGTCAGATATTAACTTCACATTTAGGGGTCAGGATATCCAAAAGGCCTCCTGTGTAAGCTTGCCCATAATTTACAATCCTTTTCAAAGGCGCTCTTGTGTGCCACCACCAAGACTGGCTTAGGTTGGCAGGTGCACACAGCAAAGTCTTTCTGCAGCAGCCTGCTGAATGCCCTTTCTAAGGAGAGCCAATTCACTCTCATTTTTACCCTTGCTTTAAACAAGCTATAACAATGTATTCAGCTTGGCATTGGACGATTTATTTCCACCTTATGGTCTTATTCCATTTCTAATTTTTTATGTTGTGTTGCTCTTACATGAATCTTTGGGCCTAAAGTAGATCCATAAGTGTATTAACATATAAAAGCGCAAAGCCTCACAATCCTGTTTATACAATTCCACTGTGTTCAATGGGGCTTACTCTCTTGCAAGTGTGTTCAGGGTTGCTGCCTTCGAATCTTTAATTTGTACTGTTATGAACAAGTATGAAGCTTTATTATTACTTTTTCCATTTTTCTAAGTAACAGGTGGGGAATGTTGGGAGTTGTAGGCCATTTTTCTGTCTAAACATACATAGCAATACAAGCTATGTTGCACAGGCTACAATCCTGTGCTCACTTACCTAGGAGTACACACCTTTGAATTCAGTGGGTATTACTTCTGAGTAAACATGCACAGGAATGTGTTATACAACAGGATGGGAAAATTAAGTACAAGGAAGTACACAAACTCCTCTAGGAGGATTTCAGGAGTGAAGAGGGAGTTTGAAGGAAGCCTCCGTTGGAGTCAAGATTTAGTCTACTGAGAAGTCCTACAAGTATTTAAGTTGCTCTAAGAAGATAGAGGTGGGATGTTACTATGGATACAGCCATCCCTGCAGCATTAGCCACAGGAAATGTGCAAATTAACATTTTCAGCTGAATACCAGAAAAACAAACGTGAGCAAGTAGGGAAATACCAAATGCTTAGAAAGTCCTTTCCGCTTTGGTGATCTAACGCGGGAATAGAACAAGGAGAAACTAGGCGATAACACCCCTCCCCTCCCACACACACACTTGGTACTGCCCCTTAAAGGAACACCAGGAGTCTACGACAGCCCTCCGACCCCGGAGTGCAGGAGCTACCAGGTTCCTTCCCACGGAATGCTACCAGAACCCTTCTGATTTAGGGCCCCTAGCAGGGGGCCGACTATCCCATAGCGTGCAGCCCTTCCGGATTTTTAACGGAGCGACATCCCTATTCCTGCTTCTCTTTGCAAGCCGGGACAAGGCGGCACTCCCCGTTCATGTGGGCGCCAGCAGAGCTTGCATTCAGCTCGCGCGCTCTGGCTGACTTTCGCTCTCTCTCTCTCTCACACACACAGCGGAAGCGACCTCCAAGAGGAGGTCACATTTCTTAATGTCAGCGAGCGAAAAACAGAGAGAGAAAGCGCGAAGCTTTTCATCAGGGAAATGCTAACTGAGTCACCCCAGAGAAAGCCATTCACGGGGTGGGGGACAGGAACAGGAAAAGTGTTCCTTATTTCAGATTGATCCACAAGGAAACCCAGACTGCAAGCACATTAAGAAGTTCTCGTTTCTTCCATGCCAGCTGTGCTTAGCGCTGCACAACAGACTTTGACTGCCGCTGTTGTCGCCGTTTGTCCGAGGCCAGGTCCCTGCGTCACGCCGGCGCTGCCGCTCATCCGCCACCCCACCCCCACCCCGCCAGAGCGGCGCAGCGGGAAGAAATTCAGGCGGTGCGCCGCCTCCTCTGCTTCTCCCTGTCGTGGCAGACAACTTCGCGTGCTACGAGAGGAGTCCCCCCTCCCGCCAAGCGAAGTTTGTTGCCACTGGTTTCGCCTGTTGAATTTCTGCCTGCACTGCCACGCCGTTGTTCAACAGGCAGCTCGACCTCCCCTTGCTTTATTATTCCTAGCAAAGGCTGCAGGCGCTTCAGCTATCCCACGTCCTCTCCGCGTCTGCTTCTTCCGCCGACCCACCCCCTCCCTTCCTGACCCCCCGGAGCTTTCGCAATCTCTTGCTTTCCCAGGATTGACCTAGATTTTTTTCCCTTTACCCGTTGGTCAGCGTGGTTCTTCAGCTCCGTATCGGCTTTGCTCCTCTCTTCCTCCTCCTTCAGGTCCCGCGGAGTATCCTCCTGCACTTTTCGGGCATCGCTCTTCCCCTCGGATATCTCCTCCGGCAGCCCGCGAATGAGTTCTTCGCAGCACGCAATACCCAGTTTCTGCAGCCGCTCGTCGGTCTCGGGGTCCACCACCAGCAAACGCACCGAATTTGCCGCGCTTCGGATGCGGTTCACTACCTGCTGGTGACTTTCCTTCTCCACGTTCTCACCGTTCACTTCCACCAGTCGGTCCCCAGCCCGCAGCCCGGACTTCTCCGCCGGGGAATCGGGCTCCACTAAGCGAATGAACTGGCCTGCTTTGCCTTTCTCTCCATGCAGGTGGAAGCCGTAGCCGTTCGGTCCTTTCTCCGGGCAGCACAGCCGCGGCAAGAGCTGCTGCTCGCTCCCTCCCCCGTTGTCCATATTCTGCCTTCGACTGATCAAATGTCCCAAGAAGCTCAACCGCAGTTAAAGAGTTTGGACTTACTGAAACGCTGCCGAGTGCCGGGGCGGTCCGGGAGGTCTCCGGCTACACGGTATTGCACAGCAGGTGCTCGCGGGCGGGCCCGAAATAATCTGAGGGCGCAGAATGCCGATTACGAATGTATCAACCAGCCGCAGCTCCGCCAATCGCAGCTTTACTCGGTATCTGAGCGTTCTAGCTTCTGTCACCGACACTTTATCAAGGGGACGGGCATAATTGGCCAAGAATAAAATTAGACCAATGAGGTTCTGCAGGGGGAGGAGCTTGGCCGCAATGAACCCGCCCTCTTCAGGGGAAAGAGTGAACTGGGATCGGGAATAGACAAACCACGAAGCCCCGCCCCTCGCTTTGCATTGGCTTTCCTGAGCATTCCAGAAAGTTTCTCTCACCTACATGAGGAAGTCGGGATGGTACGAGGGAGCAAAGGGTAGGCTTTCTTTCAGGACTAGCTGTGGGATTAAATCTGGAGCAAAACTGGGCTGCCGTGAATGGGCGAAACATCACGTACATCTTTGTGGAAGGTGTGCGGTTTCAGCTCAGACTTGGAGGAGGCAGAAGTTCTTGTACCAGCAAGGGCAGGATCCATCAGGGGGCGTTCATTTGTAACCCCTCGCAAGGCCACGCCTGGCTTTTTAATAACTTTGACCTTCGTGGCCCACTTAGGCTTGGCTTATAGGTTCCTGCAAACTGCTCACTCAGTGGGCTGGTTCAGTGGTCTTAAGCAAATGGGGGCGGCAAATTTTGTCACACTAGGAACGAGCAGGGGTGCTGTGTGGGGTGCTTTGTGTTTCCAGCCCCCAGAATATGCGTGCCTAAGGTCCTTTCACCCATCATGCAGGGTAAATCCGAGGCTGCCATCAAATTTGCCAATCTTAACTCCTTGGTGGATGCAGCTGTTTGCAGACATGGATACTGTATCTTGGGTGTGCACCAAAACATTTAATGTACAAAGAAAGAGGCATTGCTTCTCCCACGTTGTTGCTAGTATGTTAATTCTCACCCATCAGCAGTGGCTCCATTCTGCCCCATCACCTCTTTCCAGTGCATTTTGAGGATGCTTTTGTGCATATCACAAAACTGGTCACAATATCCTGGGTTGACCCAGATTTTCAAAATATTCAGGATAGGTGTGGGTTGCAGCCTGGATTCTTGTCAGAACATTCCTGTTTAACATGGAGTTTAAGTGGGAAGTAATTGTGTTGACAAAAGTGTTCTGTTTAATTGATGCATAAATCAGCTCTTATTAGCCTGGCATGCAAAGGGAAGGTGGCGTCTTCTCATATCTGTGAAGACTGGATAGAGGAATTACGGGGACTGCTTTCTTGAGAAGCCAAGTTGCACATCATACCTACAGGCAGTCACTGCACAGGAAGTGTTGCTGAAAGAGCAACCTCCTAGCACAGGGGTGCGGAGCTGTTATTACTGTATGAGCCATGCTAATTCTGCAGGTGCATTTTGGACTAGCACCATTAAGAGGCAGAATCTGCAGACTCTCTAAAGGGCTTGTGGCAGATATACTCATTCTGTGCACCTGGCAAAATTCTCATTTGCATAGTTGAGATCCCGCCCCTTGAGATCGGCAGCAGAGGCCCTTCTCCGGGAACCCTCCGTGAAAGATATTAGGAGGGTGAGTACCCGGAGGAGGGCCTTCTCTGCGGTGGCGCCCAATCTATGTAATGTGCTCCCCAGAGAGGTCCGCCTGGCGCCGTCGTTATTTGTTTTTCGGTGCCAGGTTAAGACCTTTTTATTCCAGCAGTATTTTAATAAATTTTAATATTGTTTTTCTGCTTTTAATTGCAGCCAGTGTGGGTCAGGAATTTTATTTATGCTATTACTTTGTAAGCTGTCCTGAGGCTTTTTTGCGATTAGGACGGCATATAAATATTTTAAATAAATAAAATAGTTATTAAAGGTACAGGAGCCTAGTACGCCTTTGCACCAAGCCGCCTTACCCAGCATCATGTCATCACCGTAGGCTAGATTGCAGCACAGATTGAAACAAACCACTTTTTAGCACAAGCCACAGGAAGTGGACCCTAGAGTTACTACATGCTGTATTTGTTTTGCAACTTGTCGAGTGCTACAAAATAAATTCCCAGGAAGACATCTGGTACCTTTGAAGTAGAGTGGTTAGAGTACCAGCCTGGGACTTGGGAGACCCACACTCTAGTCCTCTCTCAGCCCTTGTTCTAGCTCACTTGATGACTTTAGGCCAGTCACTGACTCAGCCTGGACTACCTCACAGAGTTGTGAAGATAACATGGAGAGGCAGAAGATCATGTAAACCACTTTGCATTCCGTGCAAGAGGGAAAAGGGCAAGATATAAATATAATAGTACATAAATAAAAATAACCAGTATAAATGCAAGTATTTTACAAGAATCACTTCATCGGACATCTGGGGAGGCTGGTGTGTGGGGGTGTTAATTTGTTAGTTGTTGACAAGGGGAGAGGGGAAGACAGGAGTTCACAGGAGTTTTGCTGGAGGCTGCAGATTTTTTAAATGAAGCATTTGGTCTGTGTAAACCTCTTTGAGAGCGCTATGCTAATCAAATGATATCTAAATCCTTTAGATAGCTAAACACTTGCCAGGTGCTTGTTTCATTTGTTGTTTTGTTGATCACACGTTTATTTCTAGGCTGTAACAGAAAGAATTTACAATAGTTGCCATTATATTATTAAGCTAACTGCACTAAGCAAAAAACAAGAGTGGAGAAATGTGTGTGTGTGGGGGGAGGACTTAAAGGGACAGAGGCAAACAAATTATAACAATTCATGGCATGAGCCAAGGATACCGATAAACAGGGAACCATATGTTAATATAAGAAAGAAAGAAAGAAAGAAAGAAAGAAAGAAAGAAAGAAAGAAAGAAAGAAAGAAAGAAAGAAGAGCGAGATCTCATGAAGTGAGGGCTGCAAACTTTTATTCACTTTATTGAATTAATTAGAGTTAAAAACATTTTGATCTTAATTTTTTTCAGTAGACAATGTAAAGTGAGTTAAAGATGCAGTCTTAGATGTGCTTAGACTGCATCTAAGACATAAAACCATCTAATAAATTTGTCTAAACATACATAAGATTGTGCCCCAAAGATTGTATTCTTTAACAAAAGCTTCTACAACAAACATAGTTGGGAAACATCTGCTAAGCAGAAGCAGACGGCTTCTCACACACAAGGCCAACAGCTGCTCCTAAAATGGGCTGTGCTGTGATTCAGGAACCTAAACACCAGCAGTAATGACAACAGCTTTTATTTGGAATCATAATTCATAAATAAAGAGATGCAAAGTTGATCAGTCAATGGGCAGCACAATCCAATGGCAGTCAGTCACTGATGAGCTGGCCATAGGATTTTTTGGAGTCCCTGTGCTGCCCATGGAGCAGTTGGAAGTCTGAACACAGAGCACCCGGCCCTTGCAGCCTGCCTGGAAAGAATTCTTCTGGCTGCAGCTCCAAGGTTGCAAGAGTGACTTGGGGGAGGCAATAGGTATTACCAGCAGGTGAAGAATCCCAGTGGCGCCTCAGCCCTTCTTTGCTTGTGCTCTGAGTGGTGCTTACCTGAAATTGGCCACTTAAATGTTCTGCAGACTGAAAGAGCACGGAGATGAGTGTCACCTGTGTTCCTTCTGTCCTGCATGGAAAGCCCCTAATCTTCCACATTCAGAGGCTATGGGCACCTGAACTGGAGTTTGCCACTAATGTCCTGCAGTTAATGAACCAACTTTTGCTGAAATGGCGTGACCATCCTAGAGATCTTCTGTGACTGGATGCAGGGCAGGAAGACCAGATGCAGAAGAACAAAATGATGGCATTCTTGGACCTATTATACTTTTGTAAAGATAAATGTTTGGTTTTAGCTTGGACAGAAGTAGCTTGTCACTGCAGAAGTGAGAAAACTTTGCCCTTGCTGAATTAGCTTTATTGATGATTAGCAGAAGTTGGCAAGTCCCGTGAGAGGATCTTTCATGCCAGAAAGGTCAGGTTTGTAACTTCTAAGCACTTCTAGTTTGAAATATCAGGAAAATCAGGTCACCCCTTTCCCATATATCTGTTCCAGTGCTTTCTGCCTATTTTAAGAGCAGCTTTTGCTATAGAAAGAGGAGGCTTGCAGCTGGATGAAAATGGAAAATATACAGAATTCATTTGCAAGATGGGCTTGAGGAATTAAAGGAAGTCCGCTTTCAACAGTCCCTGAGGTCCTTTGAGCCACCAAAGTGACTTCACACATGACATATTTGTGGATAAATGCAGAACATGTTGGTTGAACCACAAGGCAGCAACACAGCAAATACGCACTTGTGCAAAGGCACACTTCTACTCTTGCTAACTTTTCAACTGTCCGTTGGAGTTGTACCTTTAACAACAGCTTAGAACACAGGCATTAATTAGCTGATTACCGACCCCTGTGCTGCAAAATGCTTCACATGTGGATTTCTACATGTGGAAGCACACTTAAGGGAACAAAAACAGACCAGGCTGGGTTGGTTTTTGCTGTGTGGCATGCAACTTTTCTTAAGATGGCCAGAGTTTTACTTTTAAGATGTATACCAGCACAATATGTGTTTACTCAGCAATTATTAATGTTTCATTGATAACTTGCCACATTGGCTAAATGAGCTCCATTAAGTTCATTGGTGCTTGGGGTAACAATGAGGTGCCCAAGTGATTTGGACTACAGCTCCTATCAGCCCAAATTAGCATGCCCAATGGCCAGGGAGTTTTAGTCCAAAATATCTGGAAGACACCAGGTTCCCTGTCCCTTGGAATAAGAGTTACCAGGACAGGGGAGGGGAGGGTGGCTCTCTGCTGAGTTTCCTGAATGACCATATTGCTCCCTTTAGACAGCTGGCCCTGCCATTAGGCAGAATGAGACCGTTCCCTCCAGCAGTAGATGCTGGGAGGTGACAGCAAGATGTGAGAGGAAAGCACTGTGCCCCAAGAAGCCTGCCCGGTGCCTCCCGAGTTAGTCTGCTGCCTTTCAGGCACAGCAGGGTGGGGGGTTATTTCTTTAAAAGCCTCCCCCCCCCCCCTCACCATCCCACTGCTAATTCAGTCAACTTTTATACATGGAATGGGAGGGGATGCCATCTGGTTCTTGCGGCAGTTAGCAAAATGTCTTGGCCAGCCCTGAATTAATTATTCTATTTATTAGAT